ATTGCTAGAGATTATTTGTATGTATTTGTCTCTTTCTCTCCCAAACTTCTATTTTAGGGTTTGGACTCGATCTACCGTTTGGAGGCATTACGGCGTCAAGGGAGTGACTCAACATCTTCACCAAATCACTAGGAAGTGAGGTTGTAAGTTTATTTATCCGCAAAGTTAAATTTGACACTGCTTTTGTAGTTCACGTAGGAGTCGGAACTGCTAACGTTTGCGCTGGAACTTCTGACAACGTCGGAAGTTCCAACCGAAACGTCGGGATTTCCGACAGTGACTGACAGAATTGAACTTAGCATTTGCGGTAATTTTTTAGATGCGCCTATTCACCCCCCTATAGGCATTGTTAGATCCTTTCAATAGGATTACCTCTTTCGGTGTCAACTGACAAAAAAATATCAATAACCGATAGGGAAATGGTTTTTTTTTTAATCTAGAAATGGTTTTTCTTGACGGTGTAACACTGACAGAATAAAAAGGACTATTGTCCTATCAGTCCACACACCGTAAAAAATATGTTTCCCCTATCAGTTTTGTTTTTTCCCTGTCTACTAGTAACCGTTAAAAAGATGTAATTTCCTGTCGGTGATAATTTCTGGATGAACCATCAGAAGAATTGTTTTCCTTGTCGGTGTCGAACCACCAGAAAACTACGAACCACAGGAAAATGACAGTACAACCTTTTTCTATATAATTCAAAAATGAGTATACTCAATAGATTATTGCATTGCAGTAGAGCTTTATATATAGTTCAGAAAAAAACAATAGATTGAATACAGTTTTCGCATAAACACACTCAAATTATTTTTATGGCTCACATACTAGCATCACAAAAAATGATTCAAATGGCACTTCCAAGTCAACCAAGACTCATTGGTTCAACATTACATAAATTAAAAATAAGATGTACAAACATTTGACATCTATACAACAATACTGATGTGTTCTCTATTGGGTTGGGCTGGAAACTGTACATATTTCAGATTATCCGAATTTTTCCGTTGAACCATTTTTTTTTTTTGTTGAAGAATTTTTGCCGTTGAACCATGAGTAGACCAATTACCCATACTTATTGGGTTACTTGCTTCTTTAGACCAAATTAGGGAAGTCAAAATTCAGCTTTTGTCATCTCGTGTATTTCAGTTGGATTTTTGTTATCGGTTAATTTTGTCCGCCGCACGGTTGGGCTAACAGATTTCCATGAAAAAAATATTCATGATGCGTATCTCCAGAATCTTAGGAAAATCTTTTCTTAAATATACATAAGCCAATCAATCAATCAATAATATCTCTCATTTACATATAGTCACTGGCTGCACACACTTGACGTGGATTACATGATCTTTCGGACAGGAGGTCACATCAGTTGATAAGGCCAGGGATTTACTATATTGTATTATTAATCTTATATGTCGGGGACATATATCGAATGGCTTTATTTTACAGGGTTACTAATAATTATCAACGGAATATCTTTTTGTTTGAGATTTTGCTACATATATAATCACAATCCCTCAAGACAATTATTTATTCCCCTTTCTTGGCCTTTTTTTTAGAGAAAAGCGGTTTGCTACTTCGATATGTACTGGCTGTGGTCTGTGGAGGAAAGCGTGTGCAGTAATGGCATCATCCATGTTGATAGAGTTGGAGCCAACACGCGTCAGCGGATCTCATGGCTCCACAAGTTTGGAATACAGCAGAACATGAAATTCACAGATGTTCAAAAACAAAACTCGACCCATGGGTTAAGATAGCTCCCAGGTATTGTGCTTAAGAAAAAAATCTTCTCATGTAGGTCGAGAAAACTCCTGTACCTCTGCCCCATCCATACACAGCGGCACAGTAGCTCCCGTGAGACTGGGCTGGCCTTAGACCTGTGCATTAGCGTGAGGCAAATCAGGGGGGTTTTTCAATGTGCAGATAAACTGCGCCTCCTCCGGCCAACAAATCCGAACTCTGACCGGCAGAATGCAAAGCGCACAGCTAAACCAACTGGTCTAGCATTCGCTTGCAAAAATATTCGTTTTGTTATGTTTTCATTCACGGACGTTTGTTCACAGAAATTTGAAGGGAGAGAGGAAGGGCCGGTGTTAGATGCAGGATTCCAAATTTTCAAGGCATTTCGCTTGAACTTTGGGTTTTTATTTTTTCTTTGAAGTAGAGTCCACCTGCAATCATCCATGGACCTGATCCTTGGAGGCGCGTCGACTCGTGAGTATTTCAAGCTGGGCATAGCCACGGTTGACCACGCCAACATGTCGAGGAGAAGCGCAGATGATGTCTTCCTTTGTCACGCAGCAGTACCTATTGAAGCCGGTAACGTCAACATCAAGAGCGGCGATGGCCGGCTAACGGTCTTCACCGAGGCTACCACTCTAGGCGTTCTAGTCAGCGATGCACACTTCTATGCTGTTCTTGCACACCAAGACCTGCCTTGCTCCCAGCTTCGTTAGCTCCACTATTTTGATAAACCTTGCACGCATGAATTGGAAGTTGAATCACATAACTAGTACGGGCCTCAAAGTCACGCAATGGCATTGCCCTAATCGATTCTATAACGAGATGTTCAGTTAAACACCCTGATTCTGAAACCTGAATGTTATATACCTACGATGTTAGAAGAATGCTAGATCGATAAAAGATCAGCTACCTCTGTTAAAATTATTTGTGGAGGCGGCTCTGGATTTCAGCCGCCTCTGAAAATAGATTTTTACAACCGTCTCTATAAATCTATTTCCAGAAGCGGTTGGACACCCTCATCTACAAATCGCCGATTTGTAGAGGCAGAAAAGTAAAGGTGGTTGGGAGAACCGCCTCTATAGAGGCTTTCTAGCCGCCTCTATTTGTGAACTGTAGTAGTGAATATGACATGTAAAAACGAGTGGATGGAGTAGTAGCATATGACTTATGTATGCTTTCATATTTTTATAAGGGTTGTTTATGTCCTTAATTAACTAAGCCATGGACTGGCGGATCATCTAATGGTACAAAATCTTTTAGCTGATGTGTATTGTGGTTGTGGGTATATATAACATTCACCTGTCATCAAAGCACCCCCCAAATAGTTAGAGCTACTTGCTAGCTTTAAGGTCTATGTGTCATATCCATCTTAACAAGAGGTATCTAAAGGATTATGTCTCCAATGGCCTAGCTTTTACTCATTGCTCAAATCTAATTTGGTCCCAAAGAAAAGAAAGATAATTGGATGAGCCACACTAAACATAGATAGATGCGCAAGAGACTATCTCATCATTAAGAGGTAGCTCTTTCCTCTTTCATCTCCCTCTCTTTTCCACGTAGGAAAAAATGATGATGTGGATCTTATATACTAGCTGAGTCAGCAACTCAGCATTGTTGGAGCTGCCGTCGTATACGCAAGATCTGGGGCAAGTATGCCTGTGTCCCGTCTACTCCTACCTCTCTGTTGTCTCTCTTGTGCTTCACGAGCTTTGTTTTTTTCCCTATTTGCCTTTTGATCTGGCAGTCCGCAGCAGACTGGCCAATTAGGGAGGTCACACTCACATCAGTCTTGCTGCCTGCAAAACTTTTGTTGCCACTATTTGGCAGTCATCTTTATCTTTGTCTAAGGCCTGTTTAGTTGCTAAAAATTTCCACCCCAAAATATCATATCGAATCTTGCGGTATATACATGGAATACTAAATGTAGACGAAAAAAACTAATTACATAATTGGTTAAGAAATCGCGAGACGAAATTTTCGAACCTAATTAATCCATAATTAGACATTAATTACCAAATACAAACGAAAGTGCTACAGTAGCCAGCGAACTAAACGCGCCCTAAACATGATACACGACGAATCTTGTGCGGATTGGCAGTCTTCTGTTCTTAGTTCCCTAGTATCCTGGAGTAGTAAGGTAACTGTGGCCACGTTTAGTTGGTCACCAAGTTGGCGCCGACTGATTTCGCGAAGCACTGTAGCTACAGTGACTTGTTCGTTTTTATTTGGTAATAATTGTCCAAACATTGACTAATTAGGCTCAAAACGTTCGTCTCGTAAAGTACAACCAAACTGTGCAATTAGTTTTTTATTTCGTCAACATTTAGTACTTCATGCATGTACCACAAGTTTGATGTGACAGGAAATCTTCTTTTTGTATAGTGTCAAAGTTGGTATTTTGGATGAACTAAACAGGGTCTGTATATAGCCAAATAGTTCTTCACGTGTCCGTGCAGTTACTCGACTTAGGCCTTGTTCTCTTTGTAAATTTTTTCAACCTGATGAATAGTACCATTTTCGTCTTATTTGATAAATATTATCCAATCGTTAACCAACTAGGCTCAAAAGATTCATCTCGTGATTTCCAACTAAACTGTGTAATTAGTTATTTTTTTACCTACATTTAATACTCCATACAAACGACTAAAAATTGATGTGATGGAGAAAAAGTAAAAAAACTTGGAATTTGAATGGCATCTAAACAAGGCCTTAGAGTTGTCGCATCGATTGCATTTTTTCTTGATGATCTGCACAGCGATCCTTTTCTGATTTGGTGCGTGTTAATTATGGCCTTGTTTAGATCATCTCTAAATTTCAAGTTTTTTCGCTCTCTCTCCATCACATCAATTTTTGGACATATGCATAGAGCATTAAATGTAGGTAAAAAAAATAACTAATTACATAGTTTGGTTGTAAATCACGAGACATATCTTTTGAGCCTAGTTAGTCTATGATCAGACAAAGTTTGTCAAATACAAACAAAACGTGCTACAATGTCCAGGTTATAAAAATTTGCAATCTAAACCAGACCTATATTGGAGAGGAGTATCTCTCTAGGCAGCTCAATCAATATCTGGCAACATGGAGGACTCGAGCCGGTTCTTGCAGTGGGCCCTGAGCACGCTGCAGCACGACGAGCTGTCGAGCTCCCACCGGCAACGCCGGCGGCCACCGCCGCCAAAGACGACAATGTCTGCAACACCACCGCCTTCTCCTCGATCCCGGCGTTGGGATACTCCGCTGCATCAGTGAACAGCATGGTCCCGGGTGAACCACCAGCACGGGAAGGCCAGCGCGCCGCCGCCACCAACAGCTGGAGCTCGGCCGACACCGACAGCGGGAGCGGCGGCGGCACCGCCTGGTCGCCGTCTTCGCAGCAGAATTCGGTCAACTGTGCCACGCCCCGCAGCAGCGGGAGCAGCGGCACCAACCAGCAAGTGAGCTGGGACTTCAACTCGGCGTCGGCGCAGCTAATCAAAGAAGCCCAGGCCAACCCTGCCGCCGCCGCCTCCGCCGCCGCAAGGGCAGAGAGCGCCGGTGGCGGTGTCGGCGGCGTGCCGGTGCCACAGCCACAGATGGCACACAACGGGCCACCGCCAACGAGGAGAGCCTCTGCCAAAATGTCGGCGGCTTCTTCGTCTGCACTGTTCTCCCAGGATCACATCGTCGCGGAGCGGAAGCGCCGGGAGAAGATCAACCAGCGTTTCATTGAGCTCTCAGTAGTCATCCCCTGCCTCAAGAAGGTCAATCCCTGAACTATATATATATATAATATAATATATATTTCATCATCGTATCTCTGACCCAGATTATTTCACAATGCTCATCATCGGTCGGTTACTTTGTGATCGATCAGATGGACAAGGCGACGATCCTCTCCGACGCGACGAGGTACGTGAAGGAGCTCCAAGAAAAGCTCAAGGCACTCCAACAAGACGGCAGCGGCGGCAGCGCCCGGGGCAGCATGGAGTCGGCGGTGCTTATCAAGAAGCCGCGCATAGCGGCGTCGGCCGGGGATGACGAGGATGGCGGCGGCGGCGCGCCTTCCCCTTCGTCCTGCGCGCCAGCTGGGGCTGCGGCGACCGCCAGGAACGCGCTGCCCGAGATCGAGGCGAGGATCTCGGACGGCAACGTCGTGATGCTGAGGATCCACTGCGAGGACGGCAAGAGGGTGCTGGCCGAGGTCGAGGGACTCTGCCTCAGCATCACGCATACCAATGTCATGCCCTTCTTGGCTTGCATCCTCATCATAAACATAATGGCAAAGGCAAGTTCTCCATTAGCCTGTTCATAGCTAGGTCTAATTTGGAGATTGACAAATTCACTTCACTGTGCTAATCGAAATGAAAATGTGTGATTTATTTGTTAATTTCAAGTAATAGATAACTGAACGAAAAGACAAATAGATTTCGATCGCCAGCCCCAACGTTGAAGAGATCAGTCCACGGTTACATATAGGACATGCTTTTTTGTTTGAATGAGTACTGCTCTAGCAATTTTTTAGGGTTTAGTTCAACTTAATTTGATCTTGGAGATTTACATCTGAATTTCGAAGGACCGTAGTCAATTAACTAATTTTGAACTAGCTGATGAGAAGTGCCTCAAAGTGCAAGGTTGCATTTGAAATGTACAACATACCAACAAATTGAAGCATAATAAACTTCGTACTTGCCAATGTAAGCTATAATGGCCCCGTTCGCTGGTCTAAAACTTGGCTGAAAAACACTGTTTCGGCTGGTTTATTGTGAGAGAAAAACAATGTTTGGCTGGTTTGATGAACAGTAAATTAAGAGGAAGGATCAGTCGGCTGACTGGCCTGATAAGACCAGCGAACGGCCCCAATATCTATATCCGATTTTATATTGTTATACTCTGATCCGTTATGGCCTGAAGGATCATTCTCTTTCTTTTTCTTTTGTTTAATGACCAATTTCTTTGTTTTTTTGTCATTTTATGGATTACTTACTGGTCCTCAAGGCGCGAATAGAATGCCTTTGGTTTGACCTCCTCTTCGACTCTGGTATACTTTCTCCGTTCCTAAATAAGTGTCGTTCTTATTTCCGAAGAGTCAAATATTTTAACTTTGACTAAATATATATAAAAAAAATATTAATATTTGTAATACATAATTAGTATCATTAGATAGACCATTGAATCTATTTTTATAATAAATTTATTTGAGATATAAATGTTTCTAATATTTTTTACAAATGTAGTCAGACTTTAAAAAATTTGACTGACAGAGATACCAACAGCGACACTTGTTTTTGGGACACTTGTTTTTGGGACGAAGGAAGTACTCCCTTAGTCTAAAAAGAATGTAATCCTGGAATTCAAATCTTGTCTTAAAAAAAAGAATGTAATTCTGTCTTTTGACCAACTTTTTCAAGTGAGACTCACCTAATAAAAAACAACCAAAAAAACCACCACATCACTACCGGAAACCGGCACTTTGCCGAGTGCCGGAGGCTTTACCGAGTGTATTTTATCGGACACTCGACAAAGACAGTCTTTGCCGAGTGCCAAATAAAATACACTCGGCAAAAAAAAACACTCGACAAAATGCGTCTTTGCCGAGTGCCTTTTTCTGGCACTCGGTAAAGACGTATTTTGCCGAGTGCTATTTTTCGGCACACGGCAAAATGCGTCTTTGCCGAGTGCCTTTTTCTGGCACTCGGCAAAGATGTATTTTGCCGAGTGCTATTTTTTGGCACACGGCAAAATACGTCTTTGCCGAGTGCCTTTTTTCTGGCACTCGGCAAAGATGTATTTTGCCGAGTGCCTTTGTTTTGGCACTCGGCAAAGAGGCATTTTGCCGTGTGCATTTTTTTTGTCCTTGGCAAATCAGTTTTTCAAAGCAATTTTTGAGGCCCTAAATGAATTCAAATGAAAAACTTTTCAACTACAAAGTTGTATAACTTCTCAAGATCTACAAAGTTTATTTTGATCATTTCTTCATTTGACAAAGCGACAATAACGTTTTTCATAAAATCTAGATCTCTCATATCTCTCGTATGAGTTTCATGAAAGTAGAAGAAATATATATAAGATTTGTGAACAATGTTACTACCAGTATGTCGGATGAACAAATAACCAAAATAAACTTTTTAGATCTTGAGAAGTTATGAAATTTTGTAGTTGGCAACATTTTGATTTGAAATCATCTTGCCATGCAAAAACGATGTTTGAATTTAAAAATTTTAAATTTTGAAATTTTCAAAATACCTCGGATGGAAACACTTCCTAAATGAAAATTGTAGATCTCCAAAAGTTATGAAACTATGTAGTTGACAACTTTTTGTTTTGAAATCATTTTATCATGCAAAACTACGTTTGAATCTCTCAAATTTGAAATTCGAATTTTTCAAACAACCTCGGATGGAAAAACTTCCTAAATGAAAATTGTAGATCTCGAAAAGTTATGAAACTTTGTAGTTGGCCACTTTTTTATTTGAATTCGTTTAGGGCCTCAAACAAGCAATTTACTCTCGGTTTAGTATAATATATGAGGATAGATAACGGAATCTTAGACACAAGTGACAGTGTAGTGTAGTGGTAGAGCAGCAGACACGCGAGGGAGAGGTCGTGAGTTCGAATCCCGCCGGCCGTGTTAGCCACGAATTTAGCGCAAAAAATGCAGCGACTTCGATGGAGACGGGCGGGCGCTGGCTGGTGGTGGCCTCCCCCGAAAAATTTTTTTTGAAAATTTTTCTATTATTTTTGAGTTTTTTTGCATTTTATTTTGCCGAGTGTAAATCTTTGCCGAGTGCTTTTCTGGTATTCGACAGTGCCCGACATGCGGCATTCGGCAAAAAAGCCTTTGCCGTGAAGGGATATGTCGATAACTCTTTGTCGAGTGCAGGCTTTGCCGAGTGCAATTGCACTTGGTAAAGCACGCGTTTGCTGTAGTGCATGACTCATAGCATTGGATAATGTAAAATATTTTGAACTTATGGAGAATTCTCTAGGTACAGAGATTATTTTCTATGGAAGTCTCTATAATATAGCGGAGATATATGCAAATTTTACAACTCCAGTGATATAACCTCGAAATTTGAGATTTTCATTTTTTTTTTTAAGATTTTCGTTCTTTTTTGGGACTCGTATACAGAACGAATAGTGTTACTCTGTTCGTAACTGACAATGTCGAGTTGTTGTTGTTGGTGAGTGTAGTAAAGGGTGTACTCGATAGTACACGTGGTGTAAATTTTTCATCGAAGAAGAATTTATTGGTGCTGCATGCGCCACGTGTCGAATCAAGCTTGAAACCTGGAGATCTGTGTCCTCTCTTTGCAGGTGGCGGATGGCTTCAACACTACGGCGGGAAGACATTGGCCCCGTTTCGGTTGACTTTATCGGTTAAAATTAGTTCTACTTTTTTAATGATAAAATAATATTTTTTATAATAAATTAGTTCTATAAATTAGTCGTAGCAGTAATAAATCCTATTGAACAGGACCATTGTAGGGAGGCTTAATGCTGTGCTAGCAGCTGGACCAGCGTGTTAAAGATTGATTGGTGTGCAGAAAAATACAAGAAGTTGTGTTAAAACAACTAGCGGCGCCGAATAATTTCTGGACCGGGTCTGTACATGTGTATGCCATCAACAAGTACTTTGGCGTCCTATCGCATGCATCTTATGCATGCTCGCAGGTCCTCTTCGATGTGAATAATTTGGTGTGTCGAACGTTTGTTTCTGCACCACTGCACACACACACCTTGAAGCTAGTAGTATTAGCTCATTTAATCTGGCCGGTCCGAGTTTAGTTTGTTCAAACTTGTCAATTCTCGTTGCTCGATCAAGTCAAATTGATCGTGTCTCTCTTGCTTCCGCGAAAATGTTAGAGCTGATATATATGTTCTTGCAAGTTGCTGGTGCGGGCATCAACCGGACCTCCTCTGCAAATTATTGAAAACTATTCTCCTCGTTCTAATTTTTTCTCTCGAATACGCAAAAGATTTACGTATCATTGCAATTATGAAGAAAAGTTTAATCATACAAACGACGCGCTTCTTATGAGCGTCCTCAGAGGTCTTACAGCCATAGGCTGGACCGTCCTAGCAACAACTCCTCATTCCAAATTATAAGTCATTCTGACTTTCTAGGTGCATAGCTTTATATATCCATTTACCTAGATATACACTATATCTAAATGTATAGTAATAACAAGAGTAAAGTGCACTTGCGGTCCTCGAACTTTTCGGTTGTGTCATCCCGGTCCTTAAACATGCAAATCAACCGCTCAAGTCCTCAAACTTATTCATCTGTGTTATCCTGGTCCCTAAACTCTCAAGTCGCTTGTTTAGGTTCTCAAACTTGTTCGGTTGTATCATTTAGGTCCCTAAACTTGCAAATCACCAATTTAGGTCCTCAAACTTGTTCAGTTGTGTCATCCCGACCCCTAAATACTGTAAACTTGTAACTTCCATATATATTTATAGACTATCCAAAAATTGTATAAATCTAATTTTGTTAGACTCCTGATAACATGTAATTTAAATTAGAATAAAATGAATCACTATGTACTTTCTATTTTTAACTCTATATAGTTCAATAACTAAATAGACATATACATTTTTAGGATTTATAAAAATATATGTCGTATTTAGTCATTTAACTACATAGTTAAAAATAAAAAGTATATGATGATTTCTTTTATTCTAAGTTGAAATACATGTTACCACGAGTCTAACAAAATTAGATTTACAATTTTTGGACAGCTCTATGAATATATATCGAATTTACAAGTTTACAGTATTTACAACATTTAGGAACCGAGATGACACAACTGAACAAGTTTAAGGATCTAAACATGTGATTTGCAAGTTTAGGGATCTAGATGATACAACCGAACAAGTTTGAAGACTTAAATGAGCGATTTGCGAGTTTAACGATCGGGATGACACAGTTAAACAAGGTTGAGGACCTAAACAGTTGATTTGCGAGTTTAGGGACTGTGATGACACAGATCAACAAGTTTGAGGATCTAAACAGTCGATTTATGAGTTTAAGGACCTGGATGACACATGAACAAATTCGAGGATCGCTAATGGACTTTACTCTAATAACAAACTTATATATCTAGGAAAGCTAGAATAACTTACAATTTCAAATGGAGAGAGTAGTACATTGAGCAACAATTTTGAACCTCAACATCATGGTCTGGAGATCGTACAATTTTTAGCACTATTGCAGAATATTAAAAAAACTACAAATAGTATATCATGAAAGTTCCTTGATAAAGCTTGCGGTACAAAACTAAATGATGCATTAGCTGTTTTGCAACATCAGCC